ACCTCCCGCTTGTTGTAATGCTGCTGTCGGTACAAATAGACCAATACACGGGAAGGGAGTAGTAATATTTAGTCTGTTTGCAGTGAAAACGTACCGAAGAATTTCACTTTAAACAAAAAAGTAAATCAAATAAAGTGAAATTAAGATTGCGAATCTTCATAACTTTACCTTGCCAGTTGAACATTTAAATCTCAGAATTTTATTCAACTTAGGATGAAAGTTGTTTAACAAACGATTATAGTTTCAAATTGCTATTATTGGTTTGTATTACACGGGGTGAAGCGCAGTAGTTGGAACAGTGAAACGAATGCAGGTGCGGTACGTGATGAGCGTTAACTTAGACTACCGTAGAAACCAACCCGTCTTGTTCTGGGGGTTTCATTTAATGTGCATGGTTGGCAGTTGGCAGTAAGGAAGTAGAGCTGGGATGGGTCAAAATTTTCTACCCGCGGTACCCAACCCTCTATTACCCTACCCTACCCGGATACCCGTTATATTAATTCATGACCTCACATTTGTCAGAAATGGCAATATATTCTTCAGCTCGGAGGCTAAAATTTCGAGTTTTTCAATATCTTAGCCATATATTATATTCAAAAGAAGTGACTGTAATTATGTCTAAATCTTCAAAGACAAGACAACCTTCTAATCATAAAAGAACACATTACATTGTTTAATCTATTAGTCATATGATCATAACGGGTCCGGGTATTGAGACGGGTACCCGGGTCAACTCATTACCCACCCGTCCCGTGTATCCGGGCTACCCGTCCCAGTCCTATAAGGAAGCTATAACCTTTGCAAGAACCACAAATCTAGCCATCCCCAGATTAGCCAATTACTACGACTGTTAACAGCCGTGACAGCCAAGGATTTTTGTTATACACTTGGTCCGCCATATTTGGCGGTCGCGCAATTTGGAACCAGAACTGGTTCTTGAATATGCTTTTGTCACCGGAAATCTGGTACCGGAAGTAAGCTGGGCCCCGTCTCGCATATCGCCAGTTGGCGCGCGCAAAGGGAGTCGGGAACCAGCTGAGTACCGGAAGTAGCGCCTCGCGAGACTTACAGGCCCTATGAAACACCAGCCTGGTTCCCTGGGTCCGTTGCGCCTGCGCTACGCTCCGACACTGATCCAGGCAACCACTGCCGAATGGCGGCCTTCACTGCAGGGAGACGCGCCATACATTTACTATAGGAAAATCCGAGAACGGGTGCTTAGAATTTTTTCATAGCATTTTCATCGATACTATGGGAAAATATACGTCACCAGAACAACGGCCATCGTTACTTTCAGTGTACAAACACGTTATTTAAGCAGTTTCGAGACATGAAAATCGTCGTTACATTGGCGATATGTAAACAATGACACACACCCTATTTTCATCACCGACATGTGCTTTGATATTTCGTGTCAGCTCGCTATTGCCACGAAATCGTACATATAAAACATGGATCTGAACGACCACATTGATTGAATATAGTTAGCATCTTTATTTTAGCAAATGTGATGACGAAAATATCGCCGATTATGTCCCGTGTCTTCCATCGTTTCAGGGTTGGTTAGGTCGATATATTTTTCGATCGCCTTGCGAAATTACAAGGTAAAGTGTTTAGGATGGATGATGTTAATGACAGGGTTTGTCATTCTGATATTTAGCCTCTACAAAACAACATGAAACAGTTAACAAACATACCAATATCATTCAGAAATGTTTATGATTATAATAAACATGGTGAATCAAATGATCTATATACAAAAATACACACACATATACAGCTCAAAACAATGAATTAGTTACTTTATATTACTAAACTGAATGTATAAAAATACATGGTATGATCAGTATGATAAAGCATTGGTATAACATATATGTGAAAAAGAACGTTTTAGACAGATAAACATTCCACTATTTATGAACTATTGAATTAAGGGTGATTTTTACCAATGAAACCTGTCATGAGAACTGTAGTTTTTATGGCCTTAAGCCAGTATCAGAGTATACATTTGCTGTACATTGATTATTTTGAGCATGATAACCCTGGTGTTATTAGAATAGATCTGATACAAATCATCTGATGTCAGCAATTTTTCAGTCAGATATGAGTTAACTGGTTTGGTTAAATGCTGCTATGGACTCTTTTCTTTACTTTATTATACTTTACAGCAGTGCATGCATACATAATTCAACACACCATCAGTGATTTTGCTTTTGAATTTTGGGTAATTTGCTCTGTACCAGTCCACTATTGTGATTTTTTTTTTTTTTAAATCAATATTGTAAACTTGTTTGGACTAAAGCACTAACTACTCTTGATGCACAGAGTAAAAAGGCTGTTATGGCATTGTACAGATGTCAAAAGAAAGTTGAAAATAAACCATGTCAAGATTAATTATGATATTTAATGTTATGATTGTTCCTATAGTGTGTAATGCTGCAGAAGTATAGGGGACCTCATATTGTAAAAATATTGAAGACATACAGCATAAAATGTGTAAACGGGTTTTCAAAACAGCAAACAATGCTATGGTTTGGGGAGAATGTGGCAGAACCCCTCTCCAACTTGTGCACACCACAAGCCCTATAAGGTATTGGTGCAGGCTACTGTATTTGGATGAACGCAAACTGCCTCGCAAATGCCGTACCACATGGCCTCCTGATACTAAAAATATCCTGTTTAGACTCATTCATATTTAGAATATTTTGATTTGAATATGTGCGGTTAGCACAAGATGTGAAGATCACTTGACAACCTACAACAATCAGGGTGTAGTTCTATCAACAGTTTATCAGTTTATTTTAAATCACTGTTAACTGTTGAAATGAATTTTACACTCCCTATCCCTGTAACCTAAGACTACCCATGACCTTTTCAGATGTAGTAGGTTTAAACTTCCAGTCGGTTTTGGAAGATACACAAATGTCCCATACACTGAATGACTGTAAATATTGTATATTAAGGGGAAGATCTTTTGTTGAAGATGAGTTTCATATGCATGTATTGCTTGTATGTGAGCATTATTCAGCCATGGGGCGGTGGGGTAGCCCAGTGGTTATTTCAGATGAAAGAATTTCGATAAAAGATGTTGGTTAGTTTGTTGTTTAAGGCTGCACTCGCTTCTATTCCAGTCTGGACCAGGCAATCCAGAGATCAACAGCATGATCATCGATCCGATAAAAAATGTTACAGTGTGTAACCCACTTTATATATATAATTGTTTAAGACACATACATAATTCTTATGGCTGAGTAGTGAGTGAGTATGTATGGTTTTACGCCGCTTTTAGCAATATTCCCCCAATATCTTGGCGGGGGACACCAGAAATGGGCTTCGCACATTGTACCCATGTGGGGAATCGAACCCGGTCTTAAGCGTGACGAGCGGACGCTTTAACCACCAGGCTACCCCACCGACCCAGCGGCGGTCTGTAAAAAATCGAGTCTGGGCCAGACAATTCAGTGATTAACAATATGAACTTCGATCTACGTAATTGCCATACGATGACATGTGTCATCCAAGTCCTGGCCACAGTCACAACTTACAAGCATAAGTTGCTCAAGACCAATTATACTATTTAAAAAAAGTAGGGGAACATAAAATTTTAATTTGGATAGGAAGTATAAGCGTTAACAAACTTTTCAAAGACATCTTATAAACGCACCACCATTTCTCTTTGTCACAACCCCTAAACACAGCGCATGGGATGCACGTGCACACCGCAGTAGCCCAATACACGTGCATGGGGTGTCTTTCTTAATTTTGGCGGTTTTCAAGAAGGTCGATAAATCACTGTGAACCATGACAATCATCTTGCATCACACAGTTGTTAGTGTTTGTTTCAACCCGGGTTGTTGTTGTTGTTGTTGTTGTTGTTGTTGTTGTTGTTGTTTTTGTTTGTTTGTTTGTTTGCTTGTTTGAAAATGAAAATCGTACACATGCAAATTCCACGACGTACATTCGCCAATCATCTGTCAAGAGCGATTACTTTACAACCACTATGGTCATAAAGTAGTGCAGTCTCAAGACGTTAATTATTATCATATCAACATTGATTGACTCCGATATATAGCCCAATTTTTCCAATCGTTCATTAAACATGAAGATCGTGCAACCCGGATCTTCTCGATCTTCTCGAGCCTTGTGATTTGTAATATAGGACTCGATCGAAACACTTTTCAAAATATTTGCGTTGTGTTTGGGGCGGGGAGGGTACCAGGTGTATACTTTCTTTTGTACGTCAGTTTAGACAATATATTCAGGCTTGCCACGCTCTAAAAACTTTACTTTTCGAAATCCGATCATTAACGTGTCAACTTCCGAAACAAAGGCTCCGAAGCTCTGTGAAACGAGATCCTAGAAATTGATGTGGCTTGTATTCTGTCGGAAGGTATAGGGTTTAGGTACACTGTCTCTTTCGCCGGACAATAGACTGTTTAAAGAGACTGCTTTTAAGGTTTAAGTCAGATTTGATTCAAACAATTGCAAGAATATTCTGACAAAAGTAATAAGCCCGACCTGTATGTATGATATATTACCTTGTTGGGATCAATCAGATTTTACTACAAAAGAAGGTTTTTAGCGTTTATTGCAAAATATATGGATTGTCGATGTTTTTTCCGGTTTTATACGATGCGTAGTATTCTGTTTTAATACGAAACCCCTTTGAATACATATTCATTCGTAAGTACTGAATAGTTTTATTGTGAATATTAATTAACTTCTATTCCGCTTTCATCTTAGGTTAGACACTGGTGGTATTTAATGTAATTCATCGATAACATTAATTTTGTTTTCAGTGCATATATCACTAATACTTTGTAATCAAACTCAAAGTTAAAAATATTACATGTTTCTAACCAGTACATGGTGGTTTGCACTTGGTTAGGTAAATGTATCTTTCAAGTACAACTGCAGTTCTGTTCTCTTAAGCTGTTTTTAATCAAATATTATAATATACAATCATTATCAATAAACTACTGTTTGCAAAGGAAACTTACCTGGATTTAACTGACAGGTAATCCCGACAGGTAACTCATCAGGTAAAACCCTCCCTTGGAATACAGGTAAACGAGCGTCTTGTGCCGGCCTTACGAGTGTCTAACGATCTCACCGATTGGCGCTAACACCCGCTACACAAGCCATTGAGAAGGCTGGACAGCCTGGCATTGTTAACGGACTAAACGCAGAGTGGAAAGGGAGGTGAGGTTTGTTTAAGACTTAAAGGGACTCTCGCGTATCAAAGTCGAGTATCATTACAGTCAAACATCGTTATGTCGAAGCCGGAGTGACCTACCTAAATATTTCGAGATTTCCGACGTTCGACGTAGCCGCAAAATGGTGGTTAAGTATGGAATATGCAGGCACCAAGTTATTGCTTGGAGACAACGGTACGTTTGACACATTAAAGTTCGACTTAAAGGGGGCGGTGGGGTAACCTAGTGGTTAATGCGTTGGATCGTCACGCCGAAGACCCGGGTTCGAATCCCCACATGGGTACAATGTATGAAGCCCATTTCTGGTGTCCCCCGCCGTGATGTTGCTGGAATATTGCTAAAAGCGGCGCAAAACCAAACTCAGTCAGTCAGTCAGTCGACTTAAGTATTTGGGTTTTGTTGTTGGAGCTGAGTTGTGTAAAGAAAGTGAGGTTTGGTTTGATTGTTGTATGACGCCGCACTCAGCAAGACCCCCTCCCGTTAATCGCCTCTTACAAGCATGGGTTACTGATGTCAATTCTAACCTGGATCTTCACGGGTAGAAAGAAAGTGAAATGATTACTGCCACCACAAAATGTACCAGTATTAAATCTTTGAAGGGCATTTAGAAGTGGAATGTATAAGAAAAGCAAGATTTATGGATGTCAACTTCTTTATTGTGAATAACACGACGTTTCTGAGTGTATGCTCGCTCTTCAATCAGGTTGTGAAGGAGTGAGTGAGTTTAGTTTTACGCCGCTTTTAGCAATATTCCAGCAGTATCACTGCGGGGAACACCAGAAATGGGCTTCACACACTGTACCCACGTGGTGATCTTGAAGGAGCAAGCATGACATCCATAATATTGCTTTTCTGAAACAATATATCGTATGTAGATATGACTGTGTAAACAAAACTATGTTTGTTGGTTTCACCTATGATACACCGTATGTAAGGGGTTTGGTACATAAAGGGGCAGTGGGGTAGCCAAGTGGTTAAAGCGTTCGCTCGTCACGCTGAAGACCCGGGTTCGATGCCCACATGGGTACAATGTGCGAAGCCCATTTCTGGTGTCCCTTGCTGTGATCTTGCTGGAATATTGCTAAAAGCGGCGTAAAACCTCACTCACTCGGTACATCAACGGTCAACTGTCAGCGTCCATAAGGAGTTCTCAGTGTGTCAGCTTACTACCCCATAAAAGCACTAAGGTCAAGACATATTACACACACTATGCCCATTATTAGTGTCTAGGCATCGCCTGGCCTTATTAACCACCATTTCAGTATGCAAACCCACGTATGTCAATATGCCTCCATTGAATAGGCCAGTACAGGACAGCTATTCGTTCGTCCAAATCGTCGCTTTATATTTTTGAAGCAATGTTTGTTGGTTTCCTTAACGCTGCGCAGCTTTGCAATATTCCAGCCAACAAGGCGGCGGCTTGAAGCGATCATCTTCTGATCATAGATACGCTTTAAGAGAATATACTTAATAACACAGCATGTGCGGATCGTGGGTGGGGGGTGGGGGTGGGGGTTGGGGGTTGTCCTGAAAGTTTGTAAAATGACTCAAGAAAACGGATAAAAATGAAGTGTGCACTAAAAATTATGGGAAAGGGGTCATTGATTTTGTACATGACATGGTGTGTGTGTGTGTGTGTGTGTGTGTGTGTGTGTGTGTGTGTGTGTGTGTGTGTGTGTGTGTGTGTGTGTGTGTGTGTGTGTGTGTGTGTGTGTGTGTGTGTGTGTGTGTGTGTGTGTGTGTGTGTGTGTGTGTGTGTGTGTTTTGTTCCCCATTGCTTTGTACATGCTTCTCCATAAAAATCATCCCCCATAGCCATCAATTATGAACGGCTCCCTTACACACTCTGGGTGGTACGTTTCACCTGTACTAACGCGTTTCACCTGTACCAGGTCTCTGAGTAGATGGATGCTCGTGCTGTTGATCACTGGAATGTCTGGTCCAGACTCATTTATTTACAGACCGCCGCCATATCTAGACTTGCTTCATTTAGAGCTTCAACGTGGCATCAAGGATCCGACACCAGGGAAAGTGCGTGAATATATACATCTTGACGAAGGAGAAATTCATACAAAAATTCAGCATGCAACACTAACGCTCCCTTCAGGTTGTCCTATCTTTCCTATCTTCCGGCTGTAATCACTCCTCTTGAAAATCGATCAAGGCCATCATCATCATCATCATCATCACCACCACCATAATAGCAGCTATGGTTCTACTCAATGTATGGGTGAATCTTCTTGCTCACTCACTATTGACGGCAAGTGGCGTTCACCCTTCCACCTTTCCACTGCGATGCTACCATTGAACTAAGTTATTACCTTTCTGCCATGTTGCTAGCTCTCTACCATATTACTAGCTTTCTACCATATTACTAGCTTTCTGCCATGTTGCTAGCTCCCTACCATATTACTAGCTTTCTAATATGTTACTAGCTCCCTACCATATTACTAGCTCCCTACCATATTACTAGCTTTCTGCCATGTTGCTAGCTCCCAACCATATTACTAGCTTTCTACCATGTTACTAGCTCCCTACCATATTACTAGCTCCCTACCATATTACTAGCTCCCTACCATCTTGTATTAGTGTCTGTACCCATGTGCTTCAGTGATACATGCTGTTTTAGTTTCTGTAACCTCGTGCTTCAGTGATACATGCTGTTTTAGTGTCTGTACCCTCGTGATTCAGTGGTACATGCTGTTTTAGTGTCTGTATCCTCGTGCTTCAGTGATACATGTAGTTGTAGTGTCTGTACCCTCGTGCTTCAGTGGTACATGCTGTTTTAGTGTCTGTACCCACGTGCTTCAGTGATACATGTTGTTTTAGTGTCTGTACCCTCGTGCTTCAGTGGTACATGTTGTTGTAGTGTCTTTATCCACGTGATTCAGTGATACATGCTGTTTTAGTGTTTGTACCCTCGTGCTTCAGTGATACATGCTGTTTTAGTGTTTGTACCCTCGTGCTTCAGTGGATACATGTTGTTGTAGTGTCTGTACCCACGTGATTCAGTGATACATGCTGTTTTAGTGTCTGTACCCTCGTGCTTCAGTGATACATGCTGTTTTAGTGTCTGTACCCTCGTGCTTCAGTGATACATGTTGTTGTAGTGTCTGTACCCTCGTGCTTCAGTGATACATATTGTTTTAGTGTCTGTACCCTCGTGCTTCAGTGGTACATGCTGTTTTAGTGTCTGTACCCTCGTGCTTCAGTGGTACATGTTGTTGTAGTGTCTGTACCCTCGTGCTTCAGTGATACATGCTGTTTTAGTGTCTGTACCCACGTGCTTCAGTGATACATGCTGTTGTAGTGTCTGTACCCTCGTGCTTCAGTGATACATGTTGTTGTAGTGTCTGTACCCTCGTGCTTCAGTGATACATGTTGTTGTAGTGTCTGTACCCACGTGCTTCAGTGATACATGCTGTTTTAGTGTCTGTACCCTCGTGCTTCAGTGATACATGCTGTTTTAGTGTCTGTACCCTCGTGCTTCAGTGATACAGTGATACATGATACATGTGTTGTAGTGTCTGTACCCTCGTGCTTCAGTGATACATATTGTTGTAGTGTCTGTACCCTCGTGCTTCAGTGATACATATTGTTGTAGTGTCTGTACCCTCGTGCTTCAGTGATACATGTTGTTTTAGTGTCTGTACCCTCGTGCTTCAGTGATACATGTTGTTTTAGTGTCTGTACCCACGTGCTTCAGTGATACATGTTGTTGTAATGTCTGTACCCACGTGATTCAGTGATACATGTTGTTTTAGTGTCTGTACCCTCTTGCTTCAGTGATACATGTTGTTTAAGTGTCTGTACCCTCGTGCTTCAGTGTCAGGTACAGGTGTATGTTTGTGAATTTATTTGTTTTACGCCGCTTTTAGCAATATTTCAGCAATATGACGGCTGGGGACACCAGAAACGGGCTTCACATATTATACCCATGTGGGGAATCGAACCCGGGTCTTCGGCGTGACGAGCGAACGCTTTAACCACTAGGCTACCCCACCGTCCCCTCCTCTGTTCGAGCTACATGTAAATTAGTATGACTTGTAAATAATCATATCACACAACACATGGTTTACATCATCAGCATCTATCTACGCAACTGTGCACGATGCTCATGATGTCAGTCACTGGGTTGTCGGCAGACTAACATGTAGTCTCTGAAAAATACATATTTTACAGAAAAAAACGCTTTCTTGGATATAGTTGTTTCAGTGTCTGTATGACAGACTAGATCGTCTTGTAGCAACCCATTTCTCACAATTGAACCAATCAGGGGGATTCAAAAGCATTCAAAATGAGGGATAAATGAGTAAGAAAATAAAGGTTCCCCCTGAAACACATCTTTAAAATCAGGCCTTAATGAGCAGTCTGGCGCCGACATTTTTAAAGTGTCAAATGACACCGGACACTGGGATTTTGTAACATAATAAAAATGATCATGAGTATTTACTTCCTTGGAGTGCGGGGCGATGGGGTAGCCTAGTAGTTAAAGCTTTGCCTCGTCACGCCGAAGACCCGGGTTCGAATCCCCACATGGGTACAATGAGTGAAGCCCATTTCTGGTGTCACCCGCCGTGATATTGCTGGAATATTGCTAAAAGCGGCGTAAAACCAAACTCAGTCAGTTAGTCAGTCCTTGGAGCGCATTTATCAGAGTACATTTTTAGAGTAACTTGTGTAATTTTTAAAACTAATAAGATATGTCTTTAATCACAAACTCTAAGCAGCTCTTTATAAAGACTTAATAAATAAGGTATTGTTCGTGTTGCGCGTTCCATTCAAAATGACTTCCATTTGTGCCATGCACAGAAATTGAGTATGTCATGAACAGACACTAAAGCATTTCGTTGAAATGACATCTGTTATTTCTTAAGAATCGTATCGTAAAATTTGAGCGAAACA